ACAACGCTCAACTGAGTCGCCATCAACCGCTTCCGTCGGAGTCCAACCGCAGCCTGAGCTTCAGCAGCTATCCCCAGATGAGCTTCAAAAGCACCTTGAGGATGCTGAGCTACAGCTACTGGTTGAAAAGTATGGCGTCAAGTGCAAGAACGATTCCACTCGCCAGGTGCTCAAGCTAGAGACCGAGAAACGTATCTTGCGGACCCAGGCTTCACATCTAAATGTTGCGGACTGGTTATCTCCTGAAATTCTCAATGAAATCATGGAAAAAGAGAAACTGGAGATAAAGAAGTCCAGTGAGCAAACTTCGAGACCCGAAATGGAGGAGGCCCAGATACATACAGAAGGAGAGGAACTCTCTATAAAACTTTGGACGCTTCGACAATCTTTAAAAGGTTTGGGCTTTGCGCAGCAGAACATTGATGCAGCGCTAAAAGCCACTCTGCAACTTTATTTCAATGATCCAACAGCTAGTAAGGACATTGTATGGGGCTTAGACCTGGCTTTAGAATGGCTTGGGATGAATTGCGATGAGAAGGAGTTGCCTGTCTACGACAAACCAAGTTCCAAGTCCTCGAAAATTGCTACCGAAGATGCTACCTTTGAAAAGAGTGAGCTCATTCATTTCACCGTGTTTGCAACGCGTATGCTAAACATCCATAGGCAACACATTCCCAACTCCGTCTACCACTGGCTATAATACTCCAAGTGATGCTCGCTCACAACCACGGGAAACTCAAATCAAATCATCCCTGAGCCTGTCCAGCGCTAGTTCTGATGAGTCTGATAGTGACCCAGACTCTCTTGTTCCCAAATATATTGAACTCCGAACGCAGCTCTACATGCAACAGCCAGATTTGTTTAACCAGACGAATAAGCGACAAAGAAAAGGAGTTTTACCAGTGACATTGGCTAATGATCAGGCTTCATCCAACATCGCCAAGCTCAAGAAAAAACTCGCAAAAATTGAAAACGACGTATTATTCGATCGCGATGAGGCCGAGAATATATGGCAGAGTAAGCTCTCCGAGCTAAGGGAACATACTGCAAAATTCCTCCAAAATGCAGCCACTCGAGAATCGCAGCCTGAAACGCCGCCTATTGAGTTAAAAGACACCCAAGTTCAAGACTCCTCTGACGTATTGATAGAAACCATTTTGTCTGATTCAAATGAAAATGATGATATGTTAGGTGGTTTGTTTGCTGCTGATTTGGAAGGCCCTTCGGCAGCGGTTTCGAACACAGAGGCAGAGGGAAACACAGTAGTACGAAGTAGGGATTTTGGCAAGCCAACGGGCATGACCCCGCGACGGGTTCTCGAAGAAGGTTGCCGGGCAAGGTTTGAGAGTCGCCTCTTCTCTACAGTTGTTCGCAGCTAACTTTTGCCTTACAAAGGGACTCTGGGTGTAAAATATCTTACAAAGCAATTTCCTCTACTGCCTTTTCCCACCGAAAAGAGATCGAAATTAAATGGTCAAAAGCACAAGATATCCCACCTCAGGTACCGTTGAGTGACATATCGTACAAAGGAGAGTCACATTTGGTATGCGCGGCAATGACTTCATTGTCGACTCCCACCCCCTTAGAGGCTGAGTCGTATATTTCGATGGTGGCTCTTTTCGCAATATTTTCTCATTCTCAGAAAGAGAGTAAAATTTACATGAAGTTGCCTGCTGTGTGGCGAGAACTATGGGATGAATTTGCTCATGTCAAGAAAGAGTATGACGACGAAGTTGATAAAGGAATTCTGAAGGACATTCAAAGGTTAGTCCAAGAGAAAATGTCAACGCTGGAGGAAGACGTTGTTCTTTTGGAGAACTTCAGGAAACGGAACAGCGGAGTCAATTCTCCTGCTCCACGGGGAGATAGCTGGTCGAAAAAAATCACCAAGACGCATGAGCAGCTCCAAGATCTTTGGGTACAAAGATCTTCAACATCTTCTTTTGCGTCCATGGAGTTTTCCAGAAAGTCGTTGCCCATATGGCAGTTCAAGGACCACATTCTAGACACTCTTGCAGCCAATCAAGCAATAATTATCTGCAGTGAAACAGGGAGCGGGAAAAGTACTCAAGTACCTTCATTTATACTGGAGAAGGAGCTGCTATCAGGTCATGATTGCAAAATTTATGTCACGGAGCCGCGGCGTATTTCAGCAATGTCATTGGCTAAAAGAGTGAGCGAGGAGCTTGGAGAAGATAAAAATGCTGTAGGAACAAGTCGTTCCCTAGTTGGATATGCTATCAGATTGGAAAGTAAAATCTCCAGCTCAACACGACTAATATTTGCGTACGTATATCATGCAGCCATTTCCTAATATTCCTTTGCTAACAAATTCTCCAGCACAACAGGTGTCGTGGTTAGGATGTTAGAGCGGCCTAAGGATTTCCAGGATATTACACATCTAGTATTGGATGAGGTGCACGAACGTACAATCGACAGTGATTTCCTTCTAATTATCCTCCGTAGGTTGATGCAGGAAAGGCCAGATCTAAAACTTGTGTTGATGTCAGCTACCGTTGACGCTACGCGATTTTCAAAGTATCTCCATGGTGCCCCTATCTTGGACATTCCCGGTCGGACATTTCCTGTCGAAGTTAAATATCTAGAGGACGCAATCGAGGTTACAAAACATCGTCCAAATAGTGATGGGCTTTCTGCGCTCACAGATGACAGCGACGATTCGCATGACGAGGCACTTGAGAAGCCTATTGAAGACTTAGCATCTTCATTGGCAGGATACAGCAGACAAACCCGAGAAACTGTAACTGGATTTGATGAATACCGCCTAGACTATAAACTCATAGTCAGCCTCCTCTCGGCAATTGCAACCAAAAAGGAGTTTAAGCAATATAGCAAAGCCATACTAGTTTTCATGCCGGGAATGGCAGAGATACGACGGCTCAATGACGAAATCCTATCCGAGTCGTTATTCAACAAAGGTGACTGGATTATACACGCGCTACACTCTTCAATTGCTAGTGAGGATCAAGAAAAGGCTTTTCTTATCCCCCCTATAGGTATGAGGAAGATTGTGATAGCGACAAATATCGCAGAAACAGGTGGGACAATTCTTCCAGTTTATCTCTTCGTCACTCTACTAATGTTTACCAGGTATTACAATCCCTGATATTACGGCCGTTATCGATACGGGCAAAGAAAAAGTTATGCGGTTCGTCATAATCATTATTCCTAACCAATAAATTACCGCAAGACTAACAATGAAGTAGGTTCGATGAGAGGAGGCAGCTATCCAAATTAGTTGAATCGTTCATAGCGCGCGCCAACGCAAAGCAACGGCGGGGGCGTGCCGGCCGAGTGCAGAGCGGACTTTGTTTCCATCTGTTCACGAAATTTCGACATGACCAATTGGTTCGTTTCAATTATGCCCCTATGCCAACCCATAAAGTAAACCGCCCACATATTGACAATTACGAACAGCTTTCAGAACAACAAACTCCTGAAATACTCCGGCTTTCATTACAAGATCTTGTCCTTCGGGTGAAAATATGTAATTTGGGAGAAGTTGAACAGACTCTTTCGGAAGCCATCGACCCACCCTCATCCAAAAATATTCGCCGGGCTATCGAAGCTCTTAAAGAGGTCAAGGCATTGACAAATGCGGAAAATCTTACGCCGCTCGGCAGACAACTTGCGAAGCTGCCTTTAGACGTCTTCTTAGGGAAGCTGATTATATACGGCGCATTTTTCAAATGTTTGGACAGCGCTGTCAGCATCGCCGCGATTCTTTCATCTAAATCTCCATTCATTACTACGGTTGGCTCTAGCACGCAAAGAGAACTTGCTAAACTAGTGTTTAAACGAGGTATTACGCATTTTGACACTAATTTTCTATCTTTTCATGTACTAATCCTTGAGGCAGGAAACTCCGACCTTCTTACTGTTTACAATGCGTATTTAGCCTGGAAACGGCATAGAAGTACCCCAGGAATGAGCGAATATGCATTCTGCAGAAAAAATTATCTAAGCCCGCAAACATTGCTCAATATCGAAGATGTGAAAATGCAGCTCTTGGTATCAATTGTTGACGCAGGACTGCTCAGCCTTGACCGCGCAGAGCAAGAATCTCTTGCCAGGTTTGCACCATTTCCCCCCTGGTTCTCTGAGTAATTCCTCACCTCTAACATCAAGTAAAACGCAGATCCCGCTTTACCGGCCGCCAACGCCAATTCTTTACTGTGCCCAAACGGGTAGATATCAATAGCGAAAACGACATAATCATAAACTCGGTCATCGCGTGGAGCTTTTATCCCAAACTACTTATCCGCGAGGGGAAAGGCTGGAGGAATGTTGCTAATAATCAACCCGTGTCTCTCCATCCAACATCAGTGAACAAGAGGCCAGACCCCACGGTGGAATGGCTTTCATTCTATCACATTATGCAGGCTCGCAGTCGATACCTGAATGCCCACGAAACTAGCCCGGTGGAAGATTTTGCGGTTGCATTGCTCTGTGGCGACGTCGAGTTCAAGGTAACTAATCTGTTCCCGCTGGTTCCCAGCAGCGCATACTTCTTCCTTCCTGTGTTCTTCTTCATAAATTTATGCTAGCTCTTTACCACTCGGAGCCTTTGCTAACACAGAGCAAAACCAGTTATACGCCGGCATAATCTCCATAGATGGCTCCCGCATTCGATTCTCCGTTAAGGATTGGAAATCAATGCTCGCCCTCAAAGCACTCACCACTGGAATAAGAAATGTGCTATCGTTCACCATCCGTAATCCGCGCAAAGAATTAACGCCCAGCCAACAAGGTTGGATTGATTTATGGCAGCAGGTGTTTTCAGAGGCAAGGGAAAGAGAGCTTCGAAGGAGTGGCTAGAAGTTAGAGAGAGTCAGTCTCGTTTGTCTTGCTTTTTCTTTTTTTTATTACTTTTTTTAATGAAGTACAAGGAAAATCCTTCGAGGATGCCTCTTCGATCGAGCACGAAACAAGTTGTGTATGTTGAGTGGGAGTACCACACTTACTGGGATATCTACATTGAGGGTTGGATACTTATTTGGTTTATTATATTGCAGGTCATTCGGCTACAAAGTTAGAACTACCGCGGTTTTCATCCATTCCCTGAATAGATGCCATGCGAATGAGTATATTCTAGACGTCTATCATAACTATCTATTTCCATACAAGAGTAACCAAAGCAAATTCCAGTACTCATAAACATAATGTACGTGTCTGGAATCACCGGGTTTCGTTGAAGCACGTAACATTAAGATAGGAGAGACATAATACAATGAATCACACGTAACGGGCATGGGAAAATGAAAAAAATAAACCCTCTAAAACCCCTTCCTATTGCTATGATTCTCGTTGAAACATACTCATGACGCTTCTTTGTTTATCCGGCGCCATGTGCAAAGTTGCAAATCGAGCCTCCGGGAGTCGGCATCCGACTTTGATGCTTTCCAGAACCCTATATTCGAGCAGGAACTAGTCAGCACCCTTTAGAATCGAAACGCCTTTAATGACGAAGTTGTACTTGAAATGAAAATTAAACTCTCCAGACGAATATGCGCGCATTTATATCGGGGCAGGGTTGCGGAATACAAACCATTCAACGCCAACAAACTTCACCCCCTTTCCACCGACTCGTTGTATTTCACGCTGCAGTTTCGTCGCCGCAAGTCCCCCGCCAGCACCATTGCCGTTTCGATTATTATTTGGTCTGCCGAGAATAACATGAGTGGCAGTCCGTCGAGCGAGGGCAAAAGTGACGTTCGCACCGTTTGAAACGAGGAGCTGTTTGAGTTTATGATCCGAGATGAGAGGATACGTGGAGCCGTTGACATAAATGGTCAAATTTGAAAATATTCCCTTGGCTGTAGGTTTGGAAGATGCTGGCCGTGAAGTCGTATGGATATTGGATTGAGTGGGCTTGGGAGCCGAACTGGAAATGCCTGTTTCCGATTCCCTTGTTGCTGGCGTGCGAGTTTCGGCAGGCTCATCTCCCCTCTTTGGGTTATCACTAGTATAAGATGTATTGCGAACTTGGTCTTGACAGACCGCGGGGTGATCCTTATCCCCTTCGCTTTCCGAATCATCAAGAACAAATGCCCCATTTCCTTTGATAATCCCGCAATGAATCTCGTCATTCACATCGATTTGCTTCGCTTCGGTCCTCCCTCCTAAATCTAGCCGCCTTTTCTTAACGCCACCCATAAAACTCCTAATGTCTCCAATCCGTTCTTCTCTCCGTCTGACATCCTCATACTGCTCTGAAGATACCCATTCCCAATCGCCTTCCCTATTTCCACAACCGCCGCGACCTGTTTTATCACCAAATTGCTTTCCAAGTTTCTCTGACAATACCTGCTGCCATCCGGAAGTCCTGCTATTAGAGCTTTCAGCTCGTTGATGTCCGGTCGATACAGAATTCCAAGGATCAAAAGGTCCAAGAGTGGTGGTCGAGGGAGTCGTTAAGACATCACGGATAGAGGATGGTAGAGGGCGCTTATTGCGGGACATAGCCTCTTTTGGGCTTGCTTTGAGACCTAGCAGCTCATATCATGGAGGACGAAGTAAGCGTCCGCGTTATTCCTGTGGCGACGGGAGTTCCGTTATATCTGCAACAGGTATATAGTACTATCCACAGCGGTATCAAGTTTGCCTAAATATCCCACGCCAGCAAAAAGTCTATCTTCAGCCATTTTTGGGGCGATTGTTATCATTTATCCTAAAGGAGTTTAGCTGATTGACGCTTCCCGCGACTCGGGATGAGGTGCAGATCACGTGGATCGCGAACATCCGCGCGCGCCTTGAACTAGCGCTGATATTGATATCGAGGCTCTCATTTTCAACGATCAAACCAGTAAGAAAAGTCTAAGACATCGGTACCGTCGCCAAGCCGTTTGCGTATATGTGCGTTGTACCTGCTTTATGTTTTATCGGGCTGCAGAGTTTTTACATTTTGGGGCCAGTGCTGTTCGATGTTGATATGGTCGAGTTTGCCTCGTTCTGAAACCTTGTACACTGCAAGACACCTATCACTTCGACCAATGTCACAGTCCAACAATTTTGCAGTGGGAGATGTCTGATAGCTCATATTTGATGCCCCTGTGTTTACTTTGGTGAACGGACAAATATATCTGCTCAGTTGGAGCCGGAGTCGTGTTAAAGATTGAAAGGAACCCGGGGCTATGGCTGTCGAATTACACCCGATACCACGTCGATTGAAACTGCTGCGGGCTCAGCGCCTATATTGGCCCGAGAACTCATTACTAGATTCCAACCACTCTGAGTTCCTTGCTCTGCCACATCGTTGCCTCGAAAGTTCTTTCCCTGCGTCTCAGCAGACCATGGCACTGACAGCGACTTAAACTGCTTCATGTACTCAGGTACCAGATGTACTCCTACGGGTTGTTGATAATTCACGCGAAGCAAGAGACAATCCGTTCCATTTTAATGTACATGTACATGTACATGTACACGATCAGTGATAGGCTACCGTACCCTTAACGTGATAAAGTTCCGTTTTCAAGTACGAAGCAGTTAGGAAGGATACTGTCCTCGAGATACTGGCCACGAACTGAATATGCTGCTGCTAAAAATAACAAGAACATTTCACATATATCCAGAGTGCATATCATGATGAGCCTTTGTTGTTAATGAGGAGGACCTTCTACATGATCTATCGTCCGGCGATTTGCAACCCTTGCATGCTCTTCTGGATAAAAATGTAGATTACCAACGAACGGAATATTGTGTCCTGGCCATCAAATCTTTGGCCGCTGAGTTTGCTCTTTTGCCAAATAGCTTTCGGTTGCTGGTTTCCCGATTCTATTTTCTTGTTTTGAAAGTCGTCGGTCAAAATTTCCTCGTCAGCAGCAGTCTTGTTCCCATGGTATCATCTGGTACATACATGCATGCACCGCAAATCCATGCAGTAACGGACAATCAATACATGAATGAACCGTGGAAAACCAATACCTTTGACCCGCCATAGGAAGCTTTAACAAACATCTACTATCTCCCATTCGGAATTGATCCCCTTCCCACAGGCAAGAAAATCAATAAACGGAACAATAATGCAGCACAGGTGGCGTTTTCTGTCCTAGAGAAACCGGGAAAAGGCCACACTAATTCCCTTCCCTCCCTTCTTTATGGGGATGCTTCGCCCTTTATCTTCAATAAGAGGGACGGGCTACGTGGCACCTGTGAGATGGGGCCATTTTACCCATTCTACCAATTAGCCGCGCTGTGTATGTGGCTCCAATGGACGAGCCAACCGGCAAAAAGAACTATGACCAGACACCATTTCCATGTGGTAGGGAGGGGAAGGGGCTCATGGGTTTGATGGGAAGTACATGTACGACATGAACCTGTTGTCTCCCGTTACCTTGACAAGAAAGTCACCCCAGTCGGGCAGTAGAATGGCCTTTTCAATTCTCGATCTATGATCTACCAACATGGACAATGATTCGGCCGTGGGATAAGGCTATTTCTAGCCCGGAGATGCACGATACACCACGGTAAAATAAAATAAAACCCCTATATCCCATGCCTGGGTTCTTTTTTTTTTTTTTTTTTTTTTTTTTTTTTTTTTTTTTTTTTTTTTTCAGTTCTCCAGCTAAAGGTTGTCTAGGTCAATAAACGCTCGCGCGTTCTTGTAACCCAAGAATTTTGTCAGGGTACCATGGTTCTGCTGGTTTCTCAAAATCGGATCCAGGTCACCAATACCTTCGAGTTATGTAATTCCAGAGACATATCTTGCCTCCTTGCCCGTGTGTAACCCATTGTTGCGCTGATTGCTATCTCTCGTACCTCTTTAACGGCCATATAGCTGACGAAGAGCGTCGTAATCGCTGCTCTAAATGGTTTAACTTGCATTATAGATTTTGCTTTTGATATCGAACCTTTTCTTCCTTCCTTCCTTTCTTTTTTTTTCACGGTTTATGGAAATGTAGGTTCGAACAAGAATTAATCAAAGGCAGTGTGGGACTGCATAGGGGTGTATCATTGCTATTTGCAACTGTTTACTCCGTACGGACCTTACGCACTACAGACAATATATGATGGACAACAATAAACCCACATTATACATTCGTGTGTGACAAGGGACACAGATCTAATATGTACAGCACGTATATTCTTCTGTAGTATAATGATAGCACCTAGAGAAAATACATGTAATGTACACACATGTACATTCTGTTCTTGAATTATTGGAGAGTTACTCCCTCCCAGGCGACCAGACATCTGACCTACTTTGAAATAACACCTCAATGAGAAACAAATGCGAACTGACACTCTGCAGTAAAAATCGTACACCTTTAAACCTAGCAGTTGATGAGCTCGAAGGAAAGGGGTGTTTGGAGGGTTAACTCAAGGCGTCCCATCCCCATGCCAATATCATCAGTAGTAAACAGGCCAAAATAAAAGGTTCATTTCATGCATATAATCGTGCTGCACTTTTCTCTCAGGTGCTGCGCGTCACTCAACGCCACGAGGAAGAGCCTCTGTTGAACAGATTTACCCATCGAGGTCAGAAGTGTCCGTGTTCGAAATGTTGTGGATGGATGGGGTGTGTGTGCGTACATACATGTGTGCCCGGGAAGCTGATATACACACCTTTTGGAGTATCAGACGGGCTTGGCTGTTGACAAGAGGGTAGAGAATGGCGACCTCCTCCCACGCGTTCGGCACATGCATAAGTACACAGAGGGAAAGCTGGGTAGAGGTAGTATTAAGGTTTCGTCTCCCATGAAAATCTCTTCTCAATCACTTATCCGCTAACGGAATTATATGTCTGTTGGTCAGAAAAGGGACAAGAACAGGTATGAAGAAAACTGTACGACGAAGGCTACTCTACTCCGTACAGGTTGTCAGGGGGCAGCTGAGACAACCACAGAGTACATCAAGAGAAAGGGTGCTATGGCACACACCCAATACCTCCCACAGCCGAGGGTAAATAGTAGACAACAATCAAGCCTACTCCGGTCAAGTGTGGACGTGGGCGCGGAAACATGCGTTGATAGGGGGTTGGTTGGGGACCCCGTGGGAGGAGTAACATAGAATGCAACTAGGCGTTTGGCATAAATTCAGGCGCGGACAAAAAACAGCAACATCAAAAACAAAACTTTATTCGAAAGAAAGTTCTCGTTAACACCCGTAGATTCGTACTACGTACGAAGACCTCGTTTATGATGGACTCAGAGCAGTGAAGTACCAAGTTTTGGGGATTTTGTTCCTGGGCGGTCAAAAAAAGTCACACGACACGCGACACGCCCTTACGCCTCTGAACTCTCTGTGTAACTCAATCACAGCAAAGTGTATTATTATCTACCCATCGCATAAGCCTGTAGGCCGTCCGTACAGGGTACTACTGGCGCTGCGCAGCCTTTTCTTCGACAAAAGCCGAGATAAATGCAACGATTCACCATCAGGCTCTGGCCATGCTGAGGGGCCAAGTCGACCAACCATGGGGATGTTATTAAACCGACCCTTCTTTTTTATTATTATTATTATTGTTGTTGTTGTTGTTGTTGTTGTTGTTGTAGTACTCCGTAGAGTGGATCGCACGAAGGTACCCCGTATTGAGCCTTGACGGATGTGTTCCTGAAATCTCACAAGAAAGTCGATGGAAAATAAGCCCATCAGCAAACCCACTTCCTAAAAGAAGAAGTGGCTGGAGCCACTCGGCACGGAGCAGGGGTCTTTGACTACCTAAGTTACCTTACTGGGAGGACAGGATGTTCGAAAGTCCAACCAAAGTCGAGCGGACATTCTTGCCTTGTGATGTTGTAAGGCTTGCACAGTACATGTACCAGCGGATGTCTGTCAGCTCCAGATATGTTGGACATTGCTGCAAGAATAATAATAATAATTATTTTTATTCAAATCTCACAGACGATGTGAGTGAGCCCTGGGTTTGGAGGTTCTAGGCGGAGGCGGCAAGCTAAGCTGGAGATGGTTTGGTGTCGCGGATGGCTCTAAGAAAGGATCCGTGGCGTGGATCCGTCCTGTCGCTTTCTCGCATACTCGCATATGCATGAACGGGTCGATGCAGCTGAAACGGGGCAGGCCATCCACAAAAGAGCTCGGATTTTGCTGGTTCTTCAAGTCTTGGGCCAATTCAGAAGAGGCTAAAAATCCGTACCACGTCGGGAAGCAAGGGCGGCGGTTGGGATGCGCTGGTGGTGGGGTCACTAGAGGCGCCAGGAATCTTGGACTTGGGGACTTGGGGGGGGGGTGGGCGCGAGGTTTTAGAACTTAGCAGAAGCTCGGATAACTAGGCCTACCCTAACTACCCTACCAACAAAAGTTTTAAAAAAAATCACGCAGCTCTTGCAATCCCAGTCGTTGTCAGTCAGGCAACTGTAGGCTGGGGATGGCATACCAGTCCAGCCCAAAGGAGTTAACAAATATCCAAAATTGGCGCCGGCGGTTTATTCCCTAGCCAGTGTCAATGTGCTCAAGGCCAGGATCGCTTTGACCATTTTTTTTTCAAATCCAAGCAGGCAAGTTGATCGCCAACATTAAAGAACAAGAAATAATAAGGAGTAAAAATCTCGAGTGATTAATTTGCTCCGTTGGGTTACGATGAATAGTTGACGAGGCTGCGGAAGATATTCTGCGAACTATCCCACCGTGGACAGCTATTGTCACTGCTGTAAGATATTGAGTCTGTGACCGCAATCAATATCTGACAGGCCCACCGTACAACTAGAGTTTTGAACAGTTGAAGAAAGGGGGAAGAATTCAGCTTCTTCTCATCAGATGATGGACATGCTTGAAAACCCAAAGCCACAAAATGCCCCTGCAAGTCGCACGAAACAAAATTTGCCAAATTTAGATGGGAAAATCACGGCACTTCCTTGGGGGGTTGATACAAAAAAAAAAAAAAAAGCCAGTTGGTGGAGTCTGGCAGCCGAGGGTATCTGATCGCTTGTGGTCAATAATCCAGGCTAAGGAGATCCCTGGCAGCGTTCCCTACCAACGTACCAAGTGACGACGCATGGATGGTGTGCGGCTTTCAAGGATAGTCTGATGGTCAGCGTGTCACATACGTGGTCGCTGCCACCGCCAGTCAATCAAGACCAGGTGCTGCGATTGACAAGCCCAGCTTCCGGACTATCCCAATTCAGTAGCCTGTTCGCTGGCGATCAACGAAGGCAAAAATTATCCATCGCCCTCTGCTCCTTTGTTCTTGACCTGTTGCTCCCATGATTGGAGGCAGCGTTATCTTCGCTTTCAAAGCCTACCCTCTGATCCGGCCCGCCTAACCCATGAACCGCTGATTTCCCTCACTCACTTCACCCTTTGTTGCTGTGATTCGTTGTCGGCTTGCGATTCTCCCACCAGCCGCCAAATGGTGCGGCTCCAGGCTGTCTAGACCCTCTTTAGTGTGCTGTTGTGGTTATTCCCCCTTGCCCAATGAATGATTATTGACTTGTCTGTTCCTTTTCGACTGTGTGAGTTGGATATCAAAAATGACAACCATTGGGACTTGTCTTCATGGGAATGAATTTCGCACCTTTTTTCTCTTCTTTCAGAGCCCTTAGATCTTCTACTTTCATCGATTTCCTCTCTCTGCTGGTGCCAATATTACATTGTGCGAACATTCCAGCCGAGCCAAACGCCCAATCCAGCAACTGCAAATCATTGTTCATAATACGATCGGACTGGACGTTTGAACCCTGATCCCTGTCTCAGAGGAAGCTCTTGTTCATTGACTTCACGGCCTGCTTTTCTCGCTGATTTCATGGACTCCGGGATTTGCTCTTGCAATCAGGATGAAGGTCAGCGTCAATTTTCCCCGCTAAAGTCCGCCGCCTATCTGGTGAATACTGCTGTCAACGAGACACAACAACAACAAGCCCTGCCTGCGTGTTCGCAGAGTGGAATCTTTTGTCCCTTGCGTAAGGGAGCCCCGGGAAGCCACCGGGTCCGTCCCTGCAAATCTCACAATTCAGTATTTCGAACCGTGAAGGGTCAGCGTTCCGTTCGAATGATATTTCCCGTTCAATGCTACGACAAGGGTTTTCCTTCCTTCTTCCAAGACGGGAATCAATCAGACAGTGGGATGAACCGTTTTAACCAATTCATGTCGAGTTTACAGGCTGTAGATGTGCGAATGTATCGTCCATGGCTGTAACGAATACAGGCAAACAGACACTAGTAAATTAACGGTGTATTTCTCGCAAACTGTACTCCGTATACCCGCGTACTTTTCGTTATTTTGGTACCGCGTATTTTGTATAGCTCCACTCTCATACAAGTATATAATGAAGTCCACAGCATCCCCATACAGATTACTCCATACATCCAGTAGAGATTATATCGGGGTTGTTGGCACTGGGTATAACAGGGTGGTGTCTCTCGTTGATATGCGGCGAGAGCGGCCGCTGTCTCTTGTCGATAGGATCATCAATAACCTCCTCCTCTTTGGACCTCGACCATGAATCGATGAGATACGCTGGGCGCTGATGATTGCTGACAGGTCAAGAGAAAAATAAGACCTATTGAATGCGGAGCCCTGGAAACGCCAGGATACAAGAGCCTTCATATGGAGGGGTAATCAGCGGGGGTTGAAATGATGACAGCAGCGAGCTTCCGATCTTTTATTATTCCCTGAACTATTGAATTGACAGGGACCGTCATCGCCAATCCATCGCTGCAATGCCATACCAGACAAAGCAACATCCCGACCCTCGATTGCATTATTTTCCATAATCATAAGTTCCCCTCCCCGTGTCAGCTCCGTTAGTCCCGTAGCTTAATTGACATTACTTTCCAGAATTGGATATTAACTTGAATGCTACCGAGGCTAGGCATACAAGGCGCGTGCAAAACATACCGAAACCGACTATGGTCTTGACCACATGGAGACGGCTAATATGTGCAGTTGATCACTCGTATCCCGAGATAGATATTTCCTTCCCACATGCAAAACCTCCTCCAGATTGCAAGTATTTCCCATTCTGAAAAGCCCACCGGCCACAGCTAACTTTATACATTTCTTTTTCAAAAAAGCCTCCGGCTTCCAGCTGAAATCAAAGCTTGAGAGTTCCCCGAAGTGGCAAATTAGACAGGATGTACATTGTACATACATACATACGGCAGAATCAAATTCGAGCGTACTAGAAGAACCCACAAATATCTGCGTTATGCATGCGCAAAATGCGGCCATCACTTTGAAGCCTGAAGAACCCCCACCACGCATCCTGCCCACATACCCGAAGAGCGTTTCAGTCCAAAGCCACCGCCAAAACTATGCAATGTGAGGTTAATTCTGCTCTTGCAGCTGACAGGTCGTTAACGGCGGGCTTCTGTTTTTTCCAGCTTCCTTCCCCCCTTGCCTTGCAGTAACGAGGTTCTTAGCCCGCTTCCCCGACGTTGTCACCAGCAGGGAACGAAATGGAGCCGCCACCCTTATGCACTGTACCGAACAACCGACAAGTAAAGTTACAACCCCTGCCTGCTCGCTTGTGCGCTTCGCTTCCGGATGAATTTCGCGTGTATCTCCTAACAATTGATGAAATTGCTGTTTCTGATAGTAAAAAACGTAAGAACGGGGATTTATCTTACATAACCAAGCTAGATAACTTAGATGAGGCATGGTTACCGTATATTAGCAGTATTTGATTGTATGTCTGTTGCGCGGGGTATATAACGACGTCCATCTGCTTTTTCCCGCTCGGCACATGAACGAGGCGGGGGTGCAGCAATATCCCCTCATAAAAAAACGTGGATGACTGCTTGCCGTATCTATCACAACCTATAGTTGTGAAGTAGAATGTCCATTGCCCTCCTCTACGTTGCATTAGCACTACCTACCGACCTCATGGTCTACCCCGCTGATATCGTCTTCGCCCTGTATCGGAAACATGCAGGGGAATACTAATGGATTTATCCTTGTTTCCTCTCATCGTGATGTATATATACCACAAGTATACTTATATAATTGTTTATTAGTTAATGAAAGAACTATTAAGAGAGCAAAAGAGAGAAACTCTCTAAGATGCTGTTTTTAGATTGTTCTCATTTAATTTAACCTAACTCAGGTTTCATAACTTGACAGGTATTAATTATGATACTTCTTTACCTAGATGAGCTTCTGAGAAACACACTTTTATCTCACTGAAGAAAGTTCATTTATCTCTTCTTCAGTTATCACATGTTGAATGATACAGTACATTAAAAAATTCAAGAAAAAAGCAATACATTTTTATCTCTGCCATGGCTGAATACATGCTCTACAAAGCAAGAAATGAGAGGTATCTTCAGAACAGAACAATGAAACACTAGCAATCTTATTATCTGATAAGAAGAAAATATGCTGTGATTCTAGTCTCAATTGAAATATCTCCTCAAGTACATACCTGTTCAAAAAAAATAAAAAATAAAAAATAAAAAATGTGAGACACGCTCAGGCAAACCGTGAACAAAGAAAATGAGTTGTCTGTCTGTCAGTGTCTGGTCACCTATCCTATCATGTTTGATTCTTAAGACCTGTTTGTGTTCCTGGGAATTAGAGTTAGGGCTCAAGCCCCTCAACTTGGGTTTTTGCTTTTTTTTTCTGGTAACTTATTAACCTTCTGGCCTCTGTCCCAAGGTTGTAACTATAGGCTCAAGATTAAAAATAAAAAATAGCCATAAAGTGTGGCAACGGGAAGTCCCGCCCGTCCCCGGGAAAGAGGGTCTTAACCAGAGAATGCGGTGTAAATAGACACAGTACAGTTTGTGTGTTGGGGAATAGAAAAGAACCCAAAACCAAAACCAAAATATGGAAATTAATGCCAGATAAAAAAAAATTTCACAAAAATGTTGCCTCTATTGTAACTATATTTTCAGAGAGAATTTCTCCTTCTGTCAAGATATCTGTCATGCCCCTTGCCAAGATCAGAGTGTACTGTGCTGGTACATACTTTTTCCATGCATCCATCCATCTGTACGTACGTACAGTACATATACCTTCCTGTGTGTCTGAGCTGCGGTATGCAGGCTCTTCTTTGAGAGAGTTCCATGATCTGCTGATCTGGTACTCTTATTAAATCCTCCGTAGGTGGCGTATATATATTAGTACCTGTATGGTACGTTCTCAACCAGATTTCTGTTCCTGTGGCTTTCAATGGAAGAACAAAGCGGACCAGATAGCTGAGAAGGTGGGAGCGTACCAAGTGTACTGATGCTAGGAATTCCATGCTAAAATAATTCTACCTTGTCATGCGTGTTAGTATAGCTACTTTTGAAGGGATTCCATTTGGCGTGTTTGGTCCTTTCTTCTTTGCCGTTCTGGTATTTCTTTCTCCCTTCGAGATTTAGGTTTGCTTGGATCTAAGCTTGGTTCTACCCCGGATTTACCAGGCATAGATTCATGTACGGCGTATGCAGTTCAGTGATAATAGCTGTGCCATTTTACCCTACAGGTATCAGGTATCCGATATTCCCTGGCACTGAAGCCCGGGTACGGGGACCAAGGGATGTATGTATTTTATATTTCATGACCGGTTTCGTACGTAGTGTCAGTACAGTACATACATACATATACTAGATGTAATATTTTGAGCCGTATCGTTCTAGCGCGGGTTCCGTGACCGTTCTGTATTGTTCATTGGCAAAATGAAAAGAAAGATACACGCCTCATGAACAGAACAAAAATAGTATCAAATATCAGAAGAACCAGAGAGAACGAATGAGTAACTCTCAGCTCAACATCTCTTTCTCAATCACCACGTTGCCTTGGGGCTTTGTTGCACAACCGCAACGAAAAGATAGGTGTTGATCGTTACAATGACTGTTGGAGAATGCAGGTGCCAACCAAAGAACTGAAGAGCAAGTGTGACAGTTAGCAGACCTCGAGATAAGTGTTATGGGTTTTGACACCCGGTGAGGGAGATGAAGCCTCCAGGTGATTTGGACAGAGGCCGGCCAAATTGCTCACCGCGGAATTGTCTTCTCTTTGCTCCAGTCTGTAGCAACCCATTCATCTCGACCCAGACCCGGCTATCAGATGAGTTGGCGATGCGATGTTTCAGGTTTGACAGAATAATAATTACCGCCTCGAAGAACTAACAAGTAGCGCGGGTTAGGCCGCGCTTTAGGGCCATTTGTTGCTGTGCTGTGCTTGCGGCAATCATACGGTCCGTTTTGCCGCCTATTATTGTTAACTTGATATGCAGGGAAGGTCGGAGTAGGCTCCAGAGAGAGGTTCATTGGCGTGCTTTAGGGCCTTGAATCTCCAACTCGAATGCACATCTCGGCTAACTGGGGTCCGGGTGCGAGATTCTGACGAGTGAGCAGGTCAATTCAGCGGTTTGGTTTTTTATCCTTTCTGCTTTTTTTTTTTTTTTTTTTTTGGCCTGTTGGAAGAAAAGCTAACTTCTGGCTCATTTCGCCTTGGTGGCGCCGCCAACCAACCTTTTTGCCAGCCTCGAATGGATATCTATCCCAATGTACGGAGTTAGTCCGTAAGTCCCTTAATGCTGATTTAAGGGTAGCAAGGGGTCCGACCAAACTAACAACTACCATGGAACTGCGGTGACCGCTTTGAAATACGCCACGTACAGGGTGTGTTCCTTGGTTCTGGAGAGGGGGAGAAATTCCGTAAGTATGTATTCCGTAAACTTGGAGTGGTTGGAGCCTCGTTCTTTTTCTTCTTCTCTCTTTTCTTCTTTCCCTCGCTCTTGTTGCTCGTTGACCGCCTGTTGAGGACGGCAATCCAGATAATTCTTGGAAAGCTAAAGACAAATCAGGCCATTGAAGGATATCGAACAAGGCTGGATAAAACCTCGGACAGGCCGTTCCCGTGATCCCATTCGTTCACAGCAACAACAGGCCGGCGGCTTTTGGAAACGGAGGTACCGTGAACTTCCAGTACTAGGTTGGGTGGCTGGCCTGATACAAATAAACCTGGGAGAAAACCGCCTTGGGAATCAGGTTCTGGGGCATAAATGTCGTCGTCATATATGGCCCTGGACAAGTCACTCTCCAATATGGGTGGTTCTGGTCCGTTGGCGACTTCAAACTTCAAACCCACCAGCCGAGAGGAATAAGTATAGTAACTATCACGTTTTCGAAAATTATATGTCGTGACACGGCCCTGGTAAACCATCCTCGTTGCTTTCCGAAAGCTCCTAGGCAGCGAGCGGCTGATATGTAATGCATGGGCCGACAGGTTACAACTGCTACACTACTAAGGAAAATCTTGCTGACCTGGGGATCTCACTCCACACAATCGCCAGTGAATAATACTGTTTATCTTGCATTAAGGCACGGATATGTATGTGAGGAAGCAGGTGAGGGTGGAATCCACATGGCGAAATGGAGCTAAATCTGCAATTCAGCTCAACAGGCTGGGATGACGGGCAGGAAAATACTACGGTTGGTGGGAAATTAAAAAATATTCCGTGAGGAATTCGGCCACCACCAGCCCAACCATCTTACCAAGGCGAAAATGGTCGTGGCTGGCTGGGGACAATTAATCGATGAGGATGGAAGCCAGTATTAACCAGTGACGATTCAAGAGCTGAGTTCTCATGATTACAGGTCTATGTACTCCGTAGCAAGCTGAGGATATGATGAGATCGAAGCTGGCTACTACCAAACTCAGCCGCCCGCCCGGGACCATAGAGAAAGAGATGAGAAAGAGATGTGATCTTCTGATCCTGCTTCGAAATTCCAATTCTGGCTTAACGAGATCCAGACAAGACCAACTACTAGAACTTATGCTCTACTTCGCCGATGAGAACTTCCAGAAATCTTGAAACAGATCTGTTGATCTAGCTAAATAAATTGCCTGCAGAAAAAAGCCTCCCGCAAAAGACGAAATAAACCAGGGCACGGCGTAGCTCCTATAAGTGCCGGCTAGGGATGCTCGGATGATCGATTACGGGCGTATCGTATCCCCTAGCTTCATGCATTGATCGGCGGATTCTCGCTCCAAGTTTCTCCCAAATCTCTCGTCCGTTGCACGCGGATAATTCTCTCTTCCAAAAACGCTTTCCATCTTTTAGGGGAAGATCGAAAAAGCAATCCCAGAGGGAAGGGAATAAGCAACCCCTTTTTGCACTACATTCAAACCCGGTTCCGTTAACGAGTCAGTTTTCCCTTTCAGGTTTGGCTTTCATCGTTATTCTGACGCTCCTAAAGCTCGGAAAAAAAGCATTTTATTCCCTGTTAGCATTGATCACTACAACAGGATATCAAAGCGCCAGGCCAAATAATCTGGCGATTGGCGGGCAGACGGACAGGGAGAAGGTCTGCCTCGGGTGGAAAGAGGCCGATTTTTCGACTTCTGGATGGGGAGCTGTTTGATACATTGATTACTCCGTACAGCCTAACAAAGTCGACTACCCATTTTATTTGCCCACGGCGCTCTCTCTTTCTCCCTGGATGATTCGGGGACGGAGTTGAGCACGGACATGCCATGAAACATCTTGTCGAAAGAATAATAAGTGGGTGGCTGGTGGTGTCTCCACCAAAACCATGGATCGCGTCCATCCCGCTGTGCCACTTCATCATCGTTGGAAGTGTGGAAGCGGAAGCCGGATACGAGAGGTTACATATGGTATTTTTATGAGCTGAAAAGGAAGAAAACGGGAGCGGGCGAGTGAGCTTTGAGTTCAGATCATTGAGAGTGCATGTAATCTGTACGGAGTACAGAATATTTCTTTCCCTTCTCATTTTCGCAGGGAGGGGATTATATGGAGTGCAAAATATGCTGCGTAAGTTAATTCTTGAAGACAACCAACAAGACAATTGACGGTGAGTTGTTCCCTTCAAGACAAGTTACCCCTCTTTCTTATCCCCGGTGTGGACAGGGTTGATCCTTGGCCAGGTTTGCCCTTGTCAAGCCAGCTAGGAAATGCAAAGCTATGTCCAGAGGAGGCCTGTTTAAGCGCCGAACCACACGGACAGCGATCTTGGAGAGGAAAAAGCTCCCCCTCTCACATCTGAACGGAGCGGAGAATCGCGAGCTCTTCTTCCCATGAATGAGCGGGTACAAAAATTTCCCAGTATGTATGTATTTTTACCTCTCTCGGGCGGGTGCAACCGTTTGTTTAGCTGAGCGGTCGCTATGTTCGATGTTCCATTGGACCAACGAATCAACGACGTATCTAGTAACGCTAGTTACAGTACTTAGCTGTATGGTTACGAAAACGATATCCATAACATCTTATTACATGTATGTACCTACCGTAATACGATAAATAACTATGGCGCTGTCCTGTTATTTCCAATACGCCATTGGAAATTGGAACAAGCGATCCGTTTTGATCGACCCGAAGCCCTATTCTTAGCCCAGCGATTCGATTTCAACGCGTAGTTACCTCCCAGGCAAATCCCAAGCTCTTCATCTTCGCAATTGTGGAATCATTTTCAATGGACTCTACGAACGGTAGTATTGTACATGTACATGCACATGTACTCCGTACAGTACTATATACAAAGCCCGCGGGCAATCTCTGTAACCCAGGAGGAGGAGCGAGCCTCAGAACAGAACACGGGAAATATTAAACCTATTTTGTCTTTCTTTCTTTCTTTCCCACCCAACTCAAGAGCCCAGCCAGTAAGAAGGTTCGCTTTTTCCAACAGAATCACGTTTCGCAAAAACATCCCAGCCCCAGTCGCCCTAAAAAGCCCTGTTCCGCACCCATTGGCTGGCTGGCAATGGAGACCAGGGAGATCTCCTCCGATGCCCGAGGAGGTTGGCTGTTTGAGGAGGGAGAATGAACTTGTTAGTTTTCATTTGTGCATATCCGCAGAGACAACAATTACTCTGTATTATTATTAGGCATTATTATAGTTATGTGGAGAGCTGTTCGTCTTCTTTTCGTCTCCTTGTGCTCAGAGATGATATGGAAAAGGGCCAGTGGTCTAATTTTGGTAGTAAGCAGTTCTTGCGCGTGATGGAACAACTGTTTTCCAACTGTGAATTATTCCTGTTCAGCATTAACTACATTTATTATTGTAGAGGGGATATTTTTTGTTTGGAAAAGGTAACTTAACAGAGATCCGAGCAAGGCGAGCCTCCCCTTGTGGCTGTGGCTCACCAACAATTTCCATCTCGACTGACTCCAGTAATTTTCCCCTCTCCAAAACACCCTTCCTTACTAAGGGTTTTCGTGCAACCCAGAGCCAAATTCAACAAAAGGAAAATCACTACGTTAACGGGATTCTAGCTCATGCTAATCCCTATCAAAAAGGAATGCTGGATCGGGGCAATATCTTTTTCTTCCTTTTTTTAAAATTTTTTTTTTTTATTATTTTTAGTAGATATTCCCCGAGATCTCCATGACGGTCTGAGACTAAAATAATCTATGCAACTGCCAGCTGCCACCTGCTATCAGTGCCTACATATCAACGAACTTGGCATGGATGTTTTCAGTACCTACATTAGGCATATATATGTAATGTACAGTACATGTACATGTACAAGCTTCCGCATATAACTCGCCGTGCAGTAGTCTGTACTGTACATTGAAGTGACCCGCGGAATGATCCCATTACAAGGCGGCGGCGAGAACGTTACAGTACGTGTTCGTAGTTCGTACCCCTTCAGATCAGACAACAAGAAATGAGAGAGAGATTTGAGAACAGTTAGTTCACTGGGTCAGGGTCCAAAATGCCAGATCCCATATTCATCTACAGCTTGGCTGCTGCCAGCTATGTATGTATGTATGTTATGCAGGGTATGATGATAACTAGTTATACAAAATACGGAGTATGTAAATACTGCCCACACAGGTAATTGTGTCTCCTCCTGCTTTATTTTCTTTCTTTCACTTCTTTGTTGTCTTCTTGTAATAATAATAATAATAATATTTCTCTCCCTTCTACTTCTCCAATTCGCCTGCTGATAACTTGCTAACTTGCTGGCAGAGCAGAGTGCGGGAGTTAAACCAGGCCATCTCATCTCCCTAAAGGAGTTTCTCTATAAACTGACTGCATTCTGCAACCACCATAACCACAAGCGTAGTTGCCATACATTAAAATAAAATAAAAAAAGCTTGATCTTCTTGCTTCCCCCGGTCCTGGCCCCCCCTCGCCCCCATACGAATGGCATGTGCCTTATTATTGATTCTGCAGAGAGCATCATTAACGCAACAACGCATAAACGCATCCATCTGCATTCCCACCGCCGCCACCGATTCTCTGTCTGGGGACCGTTGCCGTCAATCCACTCATCGCTAATTAACTAACTACTAACTAGTTATGGAAGCAACCTTACAATATCAAGGGTCCCGTCCACTCTTGGCCTCCGCTTCTACTCTTCTTCTCTGCTCTATTCTTTCGTTTTCGCTGAGTCTTCTGGAGTTCTTGGAAGAAGAAGATCCTCTGCTTCTTACAGTCCTGGAAACCAAAAGTTCATCATTCGTCTGTGCCGCTGCTGTTCTCTGGTTTTCTTTCTTTTTTCTTTTTTCTTTTTTCTTCTTTTTTTTTCCCCCTTTTCTATTTATGAGATACCATGGGTTAAGCACTGGTGGACTAACCTAACTTACCCCGGATATCTGTCGCCTGCTTTTTTTCTCCTTCTTCCCTTCTTCTTCCTTCTCCTCCGGCTCTACCCCTAACCAACCAAAGCGCAAAAACACGAGCGAAAAGACAAGGAGTTGAAAAGTGGAAGGAAGACTGAAGCAGGAGAATAAGAAGAAGAAGATGATGATGATGACGACGACGACGACGAAGAAATTGGGAAACTCTTTCCCACAATTCTGGTTGCCAATTCATTGGTCTATCCAGAGTATCCTCTCCCGTCTCGTAGAATGTTCTTTGTTTCGCATCTCCTCCTCCTCCTCCTCCTCCTCCTCCTCTCTTTTTATTTCCCCCCCTCCTGTGCGTTAGAAGTGGTTACGTCTCTCCCCTTGCCAATCCCCCTCATTGTACACAGTATGTGCACATATTATGTACAGGAGTGTCCTCGATCACTAAAAGAAAACACAGCTGCGGATGCGGGGGGAGTTCTTCAGCTGCGTGATCAAAGTAGAAAAGTTAAAAAGTTAAATAAAAATAAATAATAGAAAAATAAAAATAAAAATATGAGAATAAAAGAATATGAGAAGCAGGGATTGACATTGGTAACAGTTTCATTCTTGCTCTCTCTCTCTCTCTCTCTCTCTCTCTCTCTCTGTGTGTGTGTGTGTCTATCTAAAATGAGAGAATACGTTACTTCGCAGAAAGGGCACAGAAGGGAATTTCCAGACCAAGTTACTATCTATGTTCAGCGCGGTGGGTTCCAGGGGTTCGTTTGGTTATTATTATTATTGACAAAAATGCACAGTAGCAAAAGTCCAAAAGGACAAAACTCCTTGAATTGAATTGAAACAAAGAGCAAGATCACAATCATCACTTGATATCACCAAATCCATCATCTCGATAACTGTATCTTTTTATACTACTGGATAACCTAGAGGCAGTAGTTACATAGTTTTTTGTTTTAACTGGGACGGACGTTTCTTGAGAGAGAATCCTTTCAGCCCCAGCAAAAGCCAAACCCCCTGCATTTGCCATCTTTGATACGCGCACGATAGACATATTATTATTAATATAAATATTATTGATGGTTATGGTATTGGTAGGGTAGGGTTGAGTTTGAGGTCAATCAATCAATCAAGCCTTTATCCTTACAGCGTGCGGTGCATTCACATACATTTGCTCAATGCAGGAGGAAGCTTATAAATATATATATAGTAAGTAGTAATATCCAATTAATTTGCTGGATCTGTACAGAGTACGGATTAAATGAACAACAACCATGAACGATCTATATTCATATGAGACATGAACCCTAAGAAGGAGGATTTCTGAACGGTTGAGCATTTTCCGGCACAGCAACCAAACCAACCCAATAGAATAAAACTAAAAGCAATGAATGACTCTGTACGGATTAATGGTAACAAGGAATCCCCCTGATGAAAACACACGCAAAAAAGAAAAGAAAAAGAAAAAGAAAAAAAAAGTAACCAAACCGAGGAATAGGAATATGGAATTTTTTTTTTTTTTGGCTGGTAACCTAAAGTGAGATCATCCATAGTACAGATACATACATATACATAAGAACATCTCATCTCATCTCATCTCCAGAACCCAGCCCCCCAGATGCGATCCAAAGCCCTTTTGCTGCGCCACGTCTTTGAAAGCTTGTTCTGCATCTTCACTCTGGTTTTTTAACGGTAGAGAAAGAGAAGGGGTGGCCGGTTTTATGCTCCTTTTTCATTTCCCGTCTGGGGGGAATGAATCTAGATCTTTTATTTCCTTTTTTATTTCCCTTTTCTTTTCTCCAACAGTAATAATAAGGCCAGCGAGCAGTTGAACGAAACAGACTGGTTTTTTTTTTTTTTTTTTTGTGGAATTGTGGTCGCTCAAAACCAGCATGTGTGTCTGTTCTTCTTGTATTGGGAACGCATACGTATTATATTATAAAGTATTCTGTGTATTTCGGTATGTATGTAATATTACAGTACCAACCAGACAATAATACAGGAAACCAAAACTGGAAAAAAGAAAACATCCCAGCGACATCTGTTATAAAAAATAATAAAAGACAAAAGATGAAAGATGAAAGATGAAAGGGGTAATTAAGAAAAGAGAAGAAAAGAAAATTCATTCTGGAATGGAACTTAATTACAATAATTCAACACATCCCAAAGAATTGAGAAGAGTAGTGAGCATGAACGCTATATATCATTCATCATTCATCATTTATTATTTAGAGCCTTTCCTCTTCGTCCCTTCGTCCAGTCCATCTCAACTTTCTTAATTCTTTTTTCTGTACTCCGTACTCTGTAACCAAGAAAGATATATATACTAAATAAATAGATTACGGCCAATCCCGCGGCCAATCCCCCCCATAGCAAGCCTCATCCGATCCCAGCCTCCTCCGCCTGCCTGCCAATATATTGCGAGAAAGGAAAAAGAGAAAAAAGAAACGAAAAAAAGAAAAAGAAGAAAAAACACTGAGGTTGGTATATTCTGATTTTTGCTTTTTTTTTTTTTTCCCCTTCCTCTTTCTCTCCAAGGAAGACAACGAAAAGAAAAGAAAAAAAAAAAAAAAAAAAAAAGAAAGAAAGAAAGAAAGGACAGGAAAAAGAAAAAGAAGCCGAATAATTCCCCAAGCAAAATTGAGGGCTCTCTTCTCTTCTCGGTCTCTTTTCTTTTCCCTCTCTTCTTCTTCCCTTCTGCTTCCCCATCCATGCCAGAATAAATCTCTCTCTCTCTCTATCTAATCCGTAACTGTCCTCCTCCATATATTTTCCTGTCCCTTTTCCTGTCCCTTTTCCCATCCCTTGTCTCTCTTTTTTCTTCCATCCGATCTCTCTCTCTCTCTCTCTCTCTCTGCGCAAGAAACAAACACAGATAGATACAAGAAGAGATTCCTCCCTCCTCGCTGGCCCCTCCTCCGCCTCGTCTGCTGGACTGGCCTGGCCTGTTAACTAGTTACTATCTGTATCTTATTAGCTCGCCTGCCCGTTTGTTTCTTTTTCCTTTTTCTTTTTCCTTTTTTTCTTTTTCTTTTTTCTTTCCCTCCTCCTCCTCCCTCCTCGTCCTCCTCCCTCCCTAGGGTGCAAGGTTCCTCCTCTCCAGTATTCTTATTAAAAGACAAGAAGTAGCCCGAGCAAGGTTTTGCCAATAATTAAAAAAAAAAAAAAAAAGGTACAGTTGCTTTTTTCCCTTTTGGTACTCCACTCCAAGCACCACTACCTACCCGCCCCCATAACCATAACCATAGCCAGCACCAGCACCAGCAATCCGCTCGCGCGCCGGCTCCAAGCACCGCCCATTTATTTCCTAGGCGCAGGATCTCTCTTCTCTTCTCTGCCCTGTCCTGTCCTGTCCTGTCCTGTCCTGTCCTGTCCTGTCCTGTCCTGTCTGCTGAGGGTCCTGCGTTTGCTTCATCCACCATCCCCATCCACCATACGATACGCATAGCATAGCATAGCATACATAGTACACGCCGCTTACCTTCTACTCCTCCCCTCCCCCACCCCCCCCCTTTTTTGAGCCCACCGGCTTTTTAAGGGCAACCCTCTAAAGAGGGGCCTAATCCGAGGAACTGAATCGCTTGATTTACCTACCCACAACCCCACCTACAACGAGTATCACTTGATTCCCAATTACAATATTCAAGGAAACGGAGAGGACATAACGTCACTCACACCATTATTCAGGAGCAATTGAGCAATCTAAAGCATACGTGCTTATAGAAGATCCAGATGAAGGTCTTGCATGAATGGTATAACTCGATAGCAGAACAGTATCTATTCAC